CCCACTGCGGTATCCTCCCTGTCCCATACCTACAGCGGCCGTCCCCCCGCCCAGCACCCACAGCATCATCGCCTGCCCTGCGCCCACAGCGGTCCCCCCCGCCCACACCCACAGCGATTATCACCCCATGCTATGCTCATAGCTGTCAACTTCCTGCCCTGCACCCATGGCGGTCACCCCCACGTCCTGCGCCCACAGTGGTGGTCATCACCCTGTCCTGTGTCCACAGCAGTCATACCTCTGTCCCGTGCCTGTCTGGCTCACAGCCCCACTAGGCCTGCCGGTTGCCAGGGCTGAACTACTGTGCCCACGAGGCCCTGTGCCACATGCCAAGCCAAAGCCGAGATCTAGCCGTGAGGGAACCACCATGGGCTCCCGCCGAGGTCAGCCTGACACTGGCATACGCGCTGGCCTGCTTCCCCAGGGAGTGCACACTCTCCTGAGTAGCTATGGAGCAGGGACCAGCTGGCTCTGGGCAGCAGCGTGCTGGAGGGGCACTTGCTAAAGGCCGGATTCCCAGGCCATCCCCAGTGACCTGGTAGGACCCAGGAGTCTCCCTTCCGCCCCATGGTGCTCAGAGGAGAGGTGCTCCCCGGCCAGACCCGCCCTCTGCACCCTGGAGCACAGGACCCCAGGAGAAGCAGCCACGGTTAGAGACCCCACTGAATCAAATACACCAGAGGAGCCGTGTGTCCTGGCCTGACCTCAGCACTGCCCGCTGTCCCCACCAGCCAGACGCCACCTCTAGGGCAGGGTCAGCACCAGGCAGGCTGCGGGCAGCTGGGCACCCACTGCCCTTCCCCAAGCATCGAGAACCCCACCGGCTGCAGCAGGGCCCACACCAGCTCCCACAGTGCCAGCACCACCGCCACGGCTTAGGGGAGGGGCGAGACGAAGCCACACCCACCTCCAGAGACAGCCCGTGTGTGCGTGCTCCGCTGTGTGTGAGCCTGGAGGAAGAGGCTTGCCCATGTGGGGAGGTTCAGCATGGCCAGGGCCCCAGCTGCTTCAGAACTGCCCCCTGCAGGGGAGGAGAGAGCGCAGGAAGCCCCCCCCCTCCGGGATGGTGCTCAGACTGCTGCAGGGCAAGGTGGGTGTCCGAGCCCGCGAACACGCCCGCGGACCCAGTCTCCGCCCCGCTTTATCTGCCCTGCCCTAGCCTGGCTCGCCTCAAAACCTCAAGGCTGCAAGTTTCCGAGAAAGCCGGAACACATCTGCAAGTTCGTTCCCGGGGGTGGGGGCTCCCCCTCCTGGCTACACATGTAAGGAACAGCGGTGGGGTGGCAGCAGGCCCAGCTGGCAACGAAGCGGAGCCTGGGGACAGAGGCAGAGGTAGACAAAGGGCAGGGCTGCTGGGCGTCTGGAGACCTGGAGGGCCATCCCCTCCCTGGCAGGCCTGCTGAGCCCGCTAGATAGTCCACTCCCCAGGCCTGGCAGCTGGGCCGCTGGCAGGGCCTTCGACAGGCTCCACTTTACAATTCCCACTGGATCTGGGAAGGGAAGCTTGGCTTTCTGTCTGAGCCACCCCCTGCGATCCCGCAGCTAAGGCTCTGGTAAGTGAGCGGAGGCGGGGGCAGGCTCCGCATGACCTCTGCACCCCAGGAAACGGATGGGGGGGGGGGGGCCCCGCCAATGGCGTGCCTGCCAGGACGGCGATGCCGGGCACCAGGCCTTGCTCTCAGCAGGCCCCCATTCTGAACGCAGGCCCTGCCACGCCCTCCGCGTCCTCCCCGCCTGAAAGGACCAGGCAGCACACTGCTCCGCTTGGGGAACAGTTTAATGGGGGTTCAAAACCCGTCCGGCTGAGGCCCGGGCACAGCTCCCCAGGTCCTCCCATGCCTGCTGGGAGGCAGCGGCCCCCTCAGGGCACCCGCCCACTCCCGGTGCCCCCCTCTGGAGCCTGGCTCGGGGGCTGGGGCGTGGTGTGCCCATCACTGTAAGTTTTTATAAAAGCGGGCACGACACTGTCCCGTGCCCTTCCTAGGTGCCGTGGGCCCGCCCACCGCACACCCCTACCCCTTAATTAAATAGCCATTAAATAACCTCTCGGCACCGGCTGCCTCCGCCTGGCCTCCTCCCGGCCGCCCCGCGCTCCAGAGTGCA